ATCCAACCAGCTGCATGTGTTGATAATTTTTTTTTTGAGGGATGGGGTTTCCTCATGTGTTTAATTTTGATAGTGTTTCTTTTTAACTATATGTGGGGGAGTGTTTTCATTTTTTTTTACATTTGAGACACTGACATGTTACCATTTACAAGTTTTAATGGATGTTTCGCATTTATTTATTATTTTCATTGGGGGGGGGGGCATTATTTTATAGTATTTACATTCGAGAGACGTGTTATGCCATCATTTACAAGTTTAAAGGATTTTTCACATTTAATTTTTACATGGGGAATGGGATCGAGTTTTTTTTATTTCTTATTGTATTTACATGTGTGGGAGGATTGTATGTTATTATTTACAAGTTTTAAGAAATTCTTTCACATTTATTGTTTTTTTTGAGGGGGGATTCACACACATTCAATTTTGATAGAGGGGTGGTGTCTTATTTATTAACATTTATGGAGTATTTTTTGCAAAGGTTTCAAACATTTATGTGTTTACACGTTTTCATTGTTTTGTGATGAGTACTAATATATCATAATGTATTTTCTATATTAAGGAAAATATAGATTTGTGTGTGTGTGCTGAATGTATGCATCTATGTATGCGACTGCTGGCCACTGTTCCCATGAGTTACAAGGAATAACCCCACTATCATTGCTGCAGCTAATAATTTTAAATGACTGTATCTGGATTCTGTTTTCTTCATAAAGTTCTCTAAAGAAGATAACAATGTCCTCACCATTCTTACTTCAGAATGCATGCGCCAATCATGTGGGCATATGAATACCTTTCACAGAATTCTTTGTGTAAAAACTAAACTGAGGGTTCAGCACCTCTGTGGAATACGCCCATGGTTCAAATATCTTTTCCCAGAAACCATGAATGAAGTAGCCCTCTATGAAAGTGATACAGCAGCTACCATTACTACATCAACCAATATTTTATATAAATGCTTCCCTGTATTAATTTCACGAAAATACAGATCTTAAATTTGGTTGTATTTATACAAATCAATGTGAATGCATTCCATGTACTTGTGATTCCACGAAAATACAGGGTTTGAATTACGCTGGTTTCGTATAAATGCATGAAAATACAGATCTTGAATTGGGTTGTATTTATAGTATCAATGTGAATGCATTCCATGTATTTTTGTGATTCCACGAAAATACAGTGTTTGAATTAAGCTGGTTTTGTATAAATGCATGAAAATACAGATCTCGAATTGGGTTGTATTTATACAAATCAATGTGAATGCATTCCATGTATTAAGCTGATCAAGTATGAATCCAGGAAGATAAGTCCCTGTATTAATCTGTATCTATACACTAAATTAATACATGAATAATAGACTTCCTGTATCAACATTTATTCACAGAAAATACAACACTGATGCAGGTAAATACAGGAATGCATTTACTGTGAATGCAGGTCCATAAAGGAAGTGTATTATCCCTGTATTAAATGAGTGCAAATACACGTGAAGACAGCCTGTATTCACACTGTATTTACATGAATAAAATGTTACATTTCCCTGTATTCTCATTGATTTTCTGATAATACAGGCTAATCTACTGATGAATACAATCTGTATTTTCGCAATTTCACGTAGTGAACTATATTACATCCCGGAAAAAAAGTTTTGACATATATTAATAATTTTTCTAGAAAATTAGGATGGTGACACAAAACTTGTTTTAACTCAATATCTTTATATTGCCCGGGAGTATCATTTATTGCAAAATGAATACATTCTGGGTATTTGCATTTATGCGCAGGCTTCTACCCTATCTGCAACCACATGCAATTAATGTATAAAATCAAAGCAAGACCCGTCTGCAGAAATAATGGTCATTCACTCATAAATAAATACTTATATTATTTCGTTTTATTTTATTTGTTACTTTATTTTATTTCAACTATTTACTATATTTACGGCTGACCGTGGTTTCACAATTTCTTGGTTAATAAAGTCCCGTTTAAATATATCCTGTCTGCTTGTTCATACTCAGATATTTTAGAATATTTTCAACATTTGCAGAACACTTCCCTTAACGTCCATGATTTAAAACCTTTCCTTTAAGAATCATCACAGATACACTGAGAAAAAAAAAGGAATTTTCATTACTATATAAGAATCTATTTCAACACAGTTTTCAATTAAACATATTGGACTCAAAACATTTGCATTACAAATTCACGAAGTCTCCGCATGAGACCACCACATACTACTATATCGATGTCAATCAATTTGTTATCACAGTTCTTCAAACCGTGGTCATCGCACAACGCAAGCGCAAGATAAGGGTCCCGAGTCGTATAAACAAAGATTGTGACTTTGACAGTTGCGCAGATCGACAAGACGTTGCCAAGCTTTAATTAGCTAATTTTTAGGGGATTGGAAGGTAGGAAAGGCGTCACCGCCGGTAATTAGTGCAAGTCACGCCCAGGTCAAAACTCATACTTTTTTTGAATTCCATTAGAAAGCGCATTGGATTGTGTGAAAATCAATGTTTATCAACACAAATGTCGCACATGCGCGACGCGACGACCACCTTTAACAGTATCCCTAGCTGAATATTTAATGAGCTGAGGTATATGCTTATACAATAGTATTCCTAGGATTGAAAAAAAATGAGTTCTTACCAAACATATCCATACAATTATCCATGGAAAGAAGAAGAATGTTATAACGCAATGTAAACAATGATTTACCCCTCGTTTTCTGTAATTAATATACAACAAATACTGGTAAACCTTACATCATTTACGAGAAGTAAATAGAAGTGCAGAATTATGCTTTATATGTTTCTGTATCTGACATCAGCGTAGCCATCCAGCCACAGACATTCTATTCCTGGTTTATCTTTCTACATCTATGATTTATATTTCGCAATGATTGTCTGAGTTAAGGGAGATACAAATTATATTATCATTAAACTTACCGCTGATTTTGTATGATTGTTGTTTGGGGTGCAGGAGCTGCTGCAGCTACCACAACAGTATTGTTAGACATCATGCCCATTTGCTGCTGCTGTGGTGGGTAGCCTTGTTGTGGCGGCGGGTAGCCTTGTTGTGGTGGTGGGTAGCCTTGTTGTGGTGGCGGGTAACCCTGTTACAGGGGTGAAATAACAAAATCAATAGCATGCACAACTAATGCTGTAAATAACATGTTCATATGGATTGTATGCTGAAACCAGTACGGTTTCATTAGGACTTACAAGTGTACTGTACATTTTGCAATACAGGTTATATGTATGGGTCTGGTGAATAATTGACGTACGGGCTTACTGCAATGGTCCGCGATGCAAAGCGGGCGAGATGATGCCATACAATCATCAAAACTCGTGATTCCAGTTCAGCCGTTCAATGCGAGATATTAACTATTATGTAAATTTGAACAATGTCATATTCGAATTGTGAAAAAGTACTCATTCTTTGTGATGTGATTAACGAGTTGTCAATTTTAATGTTTAAAAACGGGCGATTTGCATAAAAACACTTGAATGTGTATGTTTTGCTTATGAATGTTGTTTTCATCTTTATTCACATGTAAATTAAAAAAAAAACGCTATGTTTACATTAATATGCGAATTAATACTGTATAAAATACTTTATTTTAGCTGGAATTAATTTTCGCTGAAAAGACTTTTTGGATGTTTTGTATGTAATTTATTTTCATGATTTTTGACAAGTTGAATGTAAAATATAGAAAAAAAGATATATTCTGAATCATTCCCTCAGCGAAAATTAATTCCAAGCGAAAATAAAGTATTTTACAGTAAACCATACAGTTTTATTATCATGTTAACTAAATATATGGGTGTACTAATTGTCACATGAACGATATTTGTTAGTGTAATAAATGACTGAACAATGCATGTGACTTTGGGAGGTAAATATTTTGGACATTCGATGACAAATTGCATCGTTCGATTCGCACTGTTACGCTGAAGCTGTCAGGCAATGCCCGAATAAATGAACCTTGGCTGGCGAAGATAGAAAAATTGTAGTTCATCTAGTATTTGTTAAAGCAAGCATTGGCCACAAAATGTACCTGTTAAAGGCGTTTTTTTTCATTGGTATAGATTAATATTTTCGGTTTCACCCGTAATGCACTTTGTACATCCATATTTGATCTTTCCTAACGAAAGCAGTGGAAGCTCTATCAATCATAATACGAAGACTTTCTTAGGTTATCGTTTATGACTGAGTTAGAGAAAAAACGAGTCTATTTGCAAAATTCGCGAAAATAATCGGATCAGGGGTGGTAATTTGGGGGAATTGGGTCACCCAGTAGAGGAGTACGCGTCGGATATTCAATATTTAATGCCTGCACTGTCCCTCCTTTCAGGTTACCAAAGCAACAGAAGAAAGTGTACGAACCCTGGATGTTAAACAATGCAAGGTATAACCATTTCAAACCATAGGGGTGGCAAGAAAATTGTTGGTTCTACATTTGTGTCAACCCTATTGTTCTTGTCCGGGGAGTTGCAACACATTTGCCTTGAATGTGTAGAAAATATTTAATATTTTTACTACAATTTAAATTAAGAGAAACTTATGAAACATAACACAAAGCACGATTTCTGGGAGTCTGCCGTTTTTCACCCTGGTTTCTAGGAAATCCTGACTCCTTCTTATTCCACTGAAGTTTTCTTTATCACATTCAACAATGGAAGTATAGGTGTGGCCAAACATGATGAATGGTCGATTTGCCGCGATTCAACGGTTTTCTCTGTTCTGCCTACACACAAAGATCTTCGTAAACATGAATACTCCATTGTCTGGCTGTGCATTATATCTTTAACCTTAAGTAGAATATCTTTCCATGGTGTTATAGTTACCGCACGAAATTCACCCTAACACCTATACGTTGAAATGTTTCAAGATGTGAGGTTTGAAAATAAAACTGGATATGTTTGTTTCTATTAGATAGGAAAACCAGTATCATAATTATATTTAAAGCGCGGTGGTCGTCGCGCAGCGCGTGTTCGAATTTCATGTAAATAAACAATGTATTTTACACGCGTTGTATACGTCGCTATGAGTCCCATATCGAACAGGACGCGGCACGACGACTGCCGCTCTTTAATAATTTATACGAAGAGTTTAACACACAAGTTAGCAAGATGTAATTACCTGATACGGCGGGGGAGCTTGTGCCATCTTGATACCGTCTAATAGTCCTTGAAAGTACAGTTTTTAATAGGGAACAAATTCGTCCAGTCTACGTCTATAGCGATGAATGGCTTTCAATTTAACCTTGGGGCGAATCTGCAAGTAATTATAACATGACAGCAAACCGTTTTTTCGATTTTTGAAAATAATTTATTCAAAGCTAGAATGCCAAATAATTATATAATTATACAACAATTATATGTCTTTTACACTAATTAGCGGACTCTTTCAATTCTAATGTAAAACTAAGTACACGCATCATGGTCAGTATACGGGTATGGTTTCTTTGGCAACGTAGACAGTGCAAGCAAGTTAACATACGATCTAGACAAAACGATCTTAACATTTGAACTAGTAAGAAAAAGGAAAATTAGTATACAACAACTTTCAATATCTATAAGATTGTGCACGGCTTTGTATGTCGACAGTTTACGGTAATGATACTTACGGAAATACAGCTATAGTTTTAACCGTACACCGAATTCACTTGATACACAAAGTAATTCTTTGCAATAGGTATATTGAGTTCAAAGGGCATTACGCTCTTTAGCGGAGAAACAGAATATTTGAAGTCAGAGCATATGTTTATATAGCGCCCTCTTTGAACACGTTTACGTGCAGTATATTACTATATACATTATGTTCCAATTGAGTGTATTACAGTACAATTTGCATTGCAATTCAGTTCAGTGTAAGGGTAATATCTTATACCATACATTCCAGTTCATTTTATTACTATGTAATTACATAACTGCTCATTGTAATGTATTACCATATACATTA